CCAAGAAAGCAGAGAAAAAGAAAACAAACAGATTTTGTTCAGCACTTCAGATAGCACAGACACATCCACAAAAGTTAAGCAACGCTCATGCACTCCATCCCTCTCTCCCCCAAACAGAAGCAACAAAAAACACAAACTCTTTCAGATAAGAAAGCTGTTAAGTGACACTTCCAATCATAACTAAGTAAGTACCTTGGCTTTAATGTGGACACAGCTCCTGTTGCACTTGAGACTGAAGCTGATGGATCAGCACATGAACTTTTACTTTCTTTTTCAGCCCGGTCCTCCTGCTCTCTTTCACGAGCCTCTGAATGAAGAGCATAGAAATGACAAATAACAGAACTCAGAGCTCTACAGAGTGAAACAATTATCTTCATTTTAAGACTTACGTAAGTTATTTGAAAAAATAACAGTAAGTAAAGCATTTCACCTGAAAATGGCTTTGTTACTCTTTCAAATAATTAAATTTCCATTGCTACCATAAAGATCACTCAGAAAAACTAAAAAAAAAAAATCCAAAAAAACTTCCAGTTATTAGTTTGCATAGTTGATCATATTTGTCAATAGCTGGAAAGCTTCTCATACAACAATGCCAATATTTCAACATTTTCAATGTTGTATTAAAATAGTACGAATAACTTCAGAGAGCTCTTGAAATTTTCATAGCAAGAAAGTGAGTTAGAACTGAAGTTATCACAGGTGCAAATAACTTATTTCCCATAAATTATATTTAGTTATCTTTTTATTTATTTTCATCTTACTTATTGAAAAAGAATTCCAGTAAATAGCAAAGTAAAATCAAACAGAACCATCCATTTCAAAGTTGAGTTAGGAATCTCATACAGCATGGTGGCGTTAAGATACAAGAACAAATAAAGCTGCCATAATTCTAAGAGTGAGACACAGCTAATCTATTTCTAAGAAACCTCAAATAACTTCCACATAGCAAAGAAAAAAAACCAACAACTCTCCTTCTATATGAGAAATAAAATTTTCCTGTTTGCTCACAATGCACAGAAACATTTTCCTCCAAAAGAGAAGCAGAAACAACTACAAGATACAGATTCAGATGACACATTATTAGTTCTCCTAATTCCCAGCTAAAGGAGATGTTCTCAAAAGAGATCATCACAATTATTTCAAAGCTAGAAGTCAGTAGTGTACTTTATGAAAACTGAAAAAAGTTCACAATACCATATTAAAAATAAAAAAAGCTGAATTACATACAAAGCTTTGTCATTTTTAGTAAAATGACTAAACTTGTGATCAATCATATGCTGTGTTTCTTTTATGGAGAAAATTCTAGAAATTCTTCTTAAGGACAACAGAGGAGAAAAGATGTCCAGATGCAGTTCAAAATGTCTTGACTTAAAAACATTACACTTCCTTGTATTAGTTTATAAAATTTCTCTTCTAATTTTTTGATAGGAGATGGTTTCCCAAAAGAGATCATAGTTTGATGTAAACAAGAATTGAATCTGAGTTTTCAACATGAAATAAATATTACTGTATTTTGATTTGGTTAGTATAGAAAAGGGTTCAAATTAAACCCTGGAGTCCCTTGTATATTTGAATTTCACAATGTCTGAAAGTCTGTAACGTCAACAAGCATCCACAGAGCTGAACCAGCATGATTCCATGTAGAATCAAGCAATAAAGAACAACCAACACTGCACTGATCTCATTCTTCCAACAGAACTGCAGTTTCCTAATGAAGGACTTCCAGACTACTATCTTCATAAACTGAAACACTTCAGAGAGAAAATAAAATTTTATCTCAGCTATAAGCTTCTCAACCATAATCATATGAATAACACAAAGACAAAGAAACCAAACTTGGTTTCTTTTTCTTTTCTTGGTTTCTCAAACCAAAAAAATCCACTCCGTTTTCTGCACATACTAAGTGGAAGCAGAAAGCACAGGTGTCTGGAATGGCAAAAAGAACTCTAGAACATTACCATCTTCCATATTTGGAATACTGTTTGTTTAGATAAGAGAAGGAAAACATACAACTCTCATCACCTTTTTCTTGCAGGCCAACCATTCCCAGCACAGTAGAAAATAGAAAAAAATATGAGCTGCTGCGTAACTAACTGTATGTCACAGAAGACATTTCCCTACTATTCTGCATGTCTAATTTAAAGCTCTCTGAATCAAGTTCCCTTTCAAAATAAAAACAATAGTTTGAGTTAAAAGATGGGACATGGGGAATTGATTTCAAACTAAAAGAAGGTAGACTTATATTGGACAAAAGAAAAAGGCTTTCTTACAGCAAAGGCAGTGAGGCACCGGAACAGGCTGCCCAGAAAGGTGGTGACATCACATCCCCAGGGACATTCAAGACAAGGCTGGACCAGGATCTAAGCACCCTGATCTAATAGTAGGTGTCCCTGTTCTTCACAGGGGGAGAGTTTGACCGTTTGACCTTTAAGATCTTTTCCAACTCAGCCTTATATTTAAATTCAGCTTTCTTCCTGGGTCGGAGTGTAACGCCTCGCAGTAGGAGTCCTGCAGTCGCTGATCCCTCGCACACTCTGACAACATATGCAAACGAGTAGTTTTTCCTATTCATCCATCTCCACTGTGTTCGAGATTGCCTTCCTGCAGCACAGCTGCACTACTTCATTCCCTAAACGCCAGTCTGAGCCACCAAAACATCACTCCAACGGAGAACAAAACGCGTTTTAAAACACACCAGCTAACTGCTCTCGCGTTTCTTACCCAAGACCTTCCTGCTCCTTTCCACAGCAGTTCTCCTCGTCTGCTCAAACATGGCTTCAAGATCGAAAGTCCGAGCCTTCTTCCCTAGAAACGCAGACAAGCGGACGGTCAGCGCGGCTCGCCCGGTCAGGGGCGGTACGGGCCGCCCAGGCAGTGCGAGTCACCGGGCCCCGCCGCTCGCCTCCCGCCCGAGCCTCTCGCAGAGGTCCGTCGGCCGCAGCGACGCCCCGGCTCCCCTCAGTCGCTCCCCGTCCCGCATCGCAACGCACCGAAGCCCGAGAAGCCCATGGTGGCCGCTAGCTCCGGGTCGGCTCCCGCCTGCATCTCAGCGTCTGCAAAGAGGAGAGGGAGAAAATAACGGCGGTCAACGAGAAGCGACAAGGCTGAGTCCGGCCCGGCCCGGCCCGCCACTCACCACCCTCAGCAGCCGCCGGCTCCATGCTGCGGCCGGCCCGGAACCACAACAGCCGCGGCAGGAAGCGGCGGGGCGGAGAAAGGCGCAGCCGCCGGCACCGCCTCACAGGGCGAGCAGAGTCTTTTATGTGTCAGGGGCCAGCCCTTCTGCCAGCCACCAGGGCGTTCGGAACGGTTTTGGAGCCAGACAGCTGCTGTGATCAGAATCACACAGAATCACAGAATGGCCAGGGTTTGAAGGGACATCAAGGATCATGAATCTCCAACCCCCCTGCGACATGCTGGGCCACCAACCTCCACGTTTAATACTAGATCAGGCTGCCCAGCGCCCATCCAATCTGGCCTTGAACACTTCCAAGGACGGGACATCCACAGCCTCTCAGGGCAGCCTGTTCCAGCACCTCACCACTCTCTCTGTAAAGAACTTCCCCTGAAATTCAACCTAAACCTTCCCTCCCTGAACTTGAAACCACTTCCCCTTGTCCTGCTGTTATCTACCCTTTCAAAGAGTTGATTCCCCTCCTGTTTGTAGGCTCCCTTTAGGTACTGAAAGGCTGCAATGAGGTCACCCCACAGCCTCTTTTCTCCAGGCTGAACAAGCCCAGCTCCCTCAGCCTGACTTTGTAGAGGAGGTGCTCCAGCCCCCTGATCATCCTAGTGGCCCTCCTCTGGACCCCCTCCAACAGCTCTGTCTTTCTTGTCCTGGGGGCTCCAGACCTGGACACAGTACTGCACATGGGACCTCACAAGAGCAGAGTAGAGGGAGACAATCACCCTTCTGTCCCTGCTGGCCACCCCTCTTCTGATGCATCAGGACACTAAATGTGATGTATAAAAAATGGGCTCGTCCCACAAAAGCCAGCTTCTCCAGTTTCCAAGGTTGGAAGCATTTCAGTAATGCGTAGCACAGCTACTGTGCTCACAAACAGTGTATTCTGAGTTGGTGGACCTGCAAGGCTCCCTGACACAGCTCTTGGCTCCATGCAGCACCACTCATAGTCCAAACCCAATGTCTGAGAGCAGCGTCCCAACACTTGCCTTATGGACCCTTCAACCATCTTTGTAGTTCTCTTTGTTAGTCATCTTTGTTAGTTTAACACTAACAGATCTACATTTCATGTTGTGCCCAGACAGCATGCAGCCCTTAGTAAAGCCCTGGGCCGAGCCAGTACACTGCATCTCAGTGACAGGGATGGATGACCCCGGATTTTGTAAACCCCCTCATCATAAACACGACTGCTGCATTAAGATGACTTCTGCTCCTGCACTTCAGCTCAGTCTGTGTGTATGCCCACATAGAGGGGCCTGTGCTCTTTTTTGTTCCACACTGACACGTTTGTTCAGCAACAGCCATGAACATATTACTTTTAGAACCCGTATTTTAGTTTAGCAAAAGGAATTCATAACTGATACTAACAAAACTTTCCATTTCAACTTCAGCGGGTTGAGAGTCTTATTTCCCTTAATAACTGCACTGGGAACATAACAAATACTTTCATCTTTTGCCTCACAAGCACGGCTGTCAATGAGGCCAAAAGCCAGCAACAGAACCGCACCAAACACACAGCCGCGAGCACGGCTCTCCTGCAGACACCCGGACCGCCGCTCCAACCCGCCCGCCAGCCGCGCCCTGCCCCGCCATTACGCTTCCCCTTATCACACGCCCAGCCACTCCTCCTCGGCCCGCCCCCTCCATCTCCGGAAGGCGGAACTGCGTCAGCCGCGCAAGGCCTGTCGGGATTTGGCGGGGTGCGGAGCGGCGGGTTCGCGCTGTCTGTTTGTGTGCGCGGGGGCGGCACCGCCCGCTCGGCCCCGCCGCCGCTCCTCGGCCCCGCCACCGCCCGCTCGGCCCCGCCGCCTCCGCTCGGCCCCGCCGCCGCCATGCCTGCCGCCATCAGCCCCGCGGCGCCCGCCGGGCACGAGGCGCTGGAGATCGCGGGCCGCATCGTCGATCGACAGATCCAAGACGATCGCTGCTACCCGGACCTGTCCGAGCTGCTGGCCGTGCCCGCGCCCGGTGAGCAGCGCCCCGTCAACCTTAGCGTGCGTCGCCTCAGCCGCCCCGCTCCCGCTTCCCCTCCCGCCGCCCTTCGCAGGGCAGCCTCGTGAGCCCGGGCTCCACCTCCCGCCCCGGTCCGCCATGGTCCCTCGAGGCCCTGGCGGTAGCGGGACTGGATCTGTCGCGGCCGGGCCTCGTAATAGAGGCAGCGCAGTGTGAGAAGCGGACATGTACCGCTCTTGGGTCCTGTCTCCCCCGAAGGGATTTGGGCGTTTGGTTTCCAATGTGCGGTGCGCCTCGTGGTGCCAGGCATCCAGCGGCATCCTGAAAGCACGGGCAGCCTCACTTTCTCTCTCAGGCTACTTTGAATGAGTTTGATTTCTCAGTAGCCACATATCACGTGTAGTTAGGTTCCTCTGAAAGAAATGCCTCCTTTTTGATTAAAGGAAAATGCAAGAGTTACATAGAGAAAAATAACACTATTTGATAGGGCAAATTCCTAGCTACAAAACACTGTCAACATAGTTGTCATCATTAGCTATGCATTTTCACCAGTCGTGAAAATGAACCTGCATGCCACAGTCTGCTCCAGCAGAGGTGACCTGCAGCCACCACTGCTGCTGAAACATTTTCCTGTACTCACACCCACTGTTTGGTCGCCACAGGCATTCAACAAGCAGTGAAAGATGCCAGTGGGTGCCATTTTTTGGCATGGAGAAATTCAGTGACACATATTTGTGCACTTCCATGTCAGATGCCATTTTGTTGGACTCCCCCTCTGCTGCCATCTGTCAGAGGGCAAGAAAATGTTATGGAATATTGGCAGGAAGGTTCAGTGTCTGCTGCCATACTCCAACATCCACTTATGTTCTGGCCAACAAAATAGGAAGCATTACTTTCAGAACAGCCTTTCCTAGTTAAGATGTAGGGTGTAGCTTTTCTCAAACGCTGTGTCCTTTCTGAAACGTCACAGCAACATTTCCTACTTTGTACAACCATCAGCCTGTATGAGTGAGCAGTAAGGAGGCACTGTGGGTGATCTGGTCAGTGTGCATCCAGTGGGTGTCGGGATGCCTTCAGATAAAAGTATGAGTGCGTAGCCGAAGTGTAGTTGCCTGTGCCATCAGAAAGTTGCATTACATAAGATAATATAGAGCCTTGGGAAGTTTAACTTTCAGATTCATTTTCACAGATTAGGAAAAGAAAAAAAATTGCGGAAAATAGAGAATTTTTTTCTGTGTGTGAAAACATCCAATTATTTATAGGAGCACTAATTTTTGTTGTTCTTAATTGCAGGTAGCCCTACTGTTTCTGGCATGACAGATATGGATTATCCTTTGCAAGGTCCAGGCTTGCTGTCTATCCCTAATCTTCCAGAAATCAGCTCAGTTCGCAGAGTCCCACTTCCCCCAGAGCTAGTGGAGCAATTTGGACGTATCCTGCTGAAAAATAATGTGTTGGATTTTGTATGTGACAGTGCTAGTATTGAACTTCTACACTTTTATAATCTTTTTTCCCTAATACTTCTGTCAGACTCCTATTAATGAACTTTGATATTGTTTATATTCTTATTTCAAGGCTCCAAGTGGTAATAAGGTCAATTTATGTAGAGACGCTGGTGGAATTAGTTCCTGTATAAGGAACTTCAGGCGTTTATGGTACATAGTTTGTGTACTGTTCTATCTAGAGCAGGTTCGTTTTTTTTTAATATTCCAAAGGAGATTACCTTTGCTGGTCTGAACTCATTTCTTCCTTAGATCAGTATTACTTCAGATATGCAATGCAATTGCATGATGGGAGTATTTCCAGAAATCAGCAGAGCTTGGCTAACAATTGACAGTGACATTTTTATGTGGAACTATGAAGATGGGTATGTTTAGAACATGTTCTGGATTATATAATGTTGATAATTATGTCTTAAATAAGCAATTGTTATAGTTGGAGATTGCTTACCTGCAATGCAGAGGTGTGCTGTTCTGTTGAAGTTACCTTGATTTCTTTTAGTTTTTTACTAAAACTTCTGAGTAGCAAGTGTTGAAGGAGTTTTGAGAGTGATAATGTTGACAAATTCTCTAGAGATGAAAGAACTACTTAAACTACTAAGAACTACTTAAAGTACCTTTTCTTAGATTTCAGCATTAGATGATATCCTACAAATCCTGTTTTATATGTGCTAAGCTTTAATTATGCCAAAGAAAGTAAAAAAGTTGAAAAAGTGTATTAATTGTCTGACTCTTCTAAGTAGATTGGGTAAGTATAGTGATCAGTGGTTATTTAGGATAGGAGTGTGGCTGTATACTCCTAATTATTTTTAAGGTTGTGTGATGGAAGCTTTCCTGCGTAAATTATTTGAGGGATGCATAAAATTGAAAATAATCTAATAACCATTTCAAATGGCAGTTTTTAATATCCAGATTTGTCAGATTCTTTTTTTCTGCTTATTTTCTAGTGGTTTTTATGTGTATGAATATTAAGAATTTCTTTATAGAATTTGTTGTGTTTTGTTTTATCCTCACATCTCTCCTCCCCTTACGTTTCCGTTGTGTCATAGAGTATAAAGCATGTTAATTAACTATTTACCAGGTAATAGAATTCTTTATGGTGTTAGGTTGCTAGGGATGAGGTTGGAACTTCTTTTCGATAGATATTTTTTGATACAAAAAAGATGCCATATATGTTCCTTTCTCTAGATGTTAATTGTCATTACAGATGCTAGTTAATGTAATTCAGAGTGGACTGTGTAAATTAACTAAAACCAAAACCATAAAATAGTGCAGTTTGATTTCAGGTTTAAAATTTTCCCTTAGAGAGATTTGTCATTCTGTTCTGCTGAATCTGTTTTCACCCAAAGCAAAAGGGGGAAGATGTCTTCCAAACATAACAATATGTATTCAAAATGTTTTAAAAGGTATTAAGAATTCTAAAATAGGGGTATCTGATATTGTTTACTTTGCTACTATGTGACATCTGACACGGCTTATGCAATTGTGTGGGGTTTTTTTCCTGTTTTGTTAACAGTGGCGATCTGACTTACTTTGATGGCCTTAGTGAAACTATACTTGCAGTGGGTCTTGTAAAGCCAAAGGGAGGTAAGAAGTATATGACAGCAATTAGACTTAAATAGTAACTGATCTTTTATATATATATAAAATATAAATTTTGTATGCACTTCTGTAAAAACCTGTGTTTTACTTGGTATATATGCAAGATAAATTGTTTTGTTTTTAGAAACATGATTTAATAAATTACAGGTGAAAATTGATGTTTAGTTTAACAATCACATTGATGAGCTTGGAAGAAATCTCAGGTCGTACTAACATTTGTGCTGTTAATACGTTGCCACAATAACTTCCTAGAGATTCTGATTTCTAGCGCTTGCAGTTCATTTGATACCTAATAACGTGACATAATATTTAAATAGACACGGAAGTAGCTTTATAAGAGAATTGTAGTTAATTAAGAAAAAAGTGTTTTTAAGAAAAAAATGTTTTTGAGTTCTTGTATTTCATGAAGTGGAAGCTGAACAGCTGACTATTACTCCTTTGTAGCTCTAGAATTTTCTAGACCACAACCTAACCGTACTACCATAACTTACCACCCTCCGCTAAATCATGTCCCTGAGCACCACATCCAAACAGTTTTTCAACTCATCCAGGGATGGTGATTCAGCCACCTCCCTGGGGAGCCTATTCCAGTGCTTAACAACCCGTTGTGTAAACAAGTGTTTCCTCATATCCAACCTAAGCCTCCCCTGGCGCAACTTGAGACCAACCCTGCTCTCGCTGTAAGCGCCTTTCAGGTGTTGGAAGAGAGAAATAAAGTCTCCCTTCAGCCTCCTCTTCTCCAGACTAATCAGCCCCACTTCCCTCAGAAATGACTGTTACTTCTAACCATCTGCTGCATCTCATTAATATGGTGGATACAATCATTGTGAGTCTTACGAGCTTGACTGCAAAGTAAAATTTGATTTTTTTTTCCTTCTTTAGGCATATTTCAGCCTCACGTACGACACTTACTTGTTCTGGCAACCCCTGTGGATATTGTGATCTTAGGGCTCAGCTGTGCAAATACACAAGCAGGTAGTTGTCTCCTTTTTTTTATATTTCTCTATTTATGTAAATTAAAGAACTGGTTGTATATTAACAATTATACAAGTATGCATGCATGGTCATGTTATCAGTAACAGATTAAATCTGAAAACAAGACCACACTTGTGGTGATTTTTAAATCATGTTACAGACAAGGTACAATAATTTCGTTTTTACAGGGGGAGTACCTTCTGGATCCCAGACTGATGTAGGACGGTAGAGTAGTACTATTCACATGTTTAATGTGGAAAGAGCATTTGCAACAGATATTCTTCTTAATTAAACTTCATAAGGGGAAGAAGAGATAGCCATGAATCAAGATAAAAAGGCAATGAGTGTGGTTTGTTAATCTAGTTGTCATTTGTTTCAAACCACAGGAAAAAAAGGAACCTGATACCATTTTAATGGTTATCTATATTAATTTTAAAAAAAAAAAAGTTGAGAAAATGAGAGAATAATAATCCTTTGTTCCCTTTCTACAGTTTTTTCCAGTGAAAGAGATATGCAGAAATTTGATTCAGAATTGGGATTGAGAGGAGATAATGATATTTCCTTTCTTGGAAACGTATGCAGTGAGTGTTTTATTTTAATAGCAAGATTCATTACTCTGTAGGTCATCCTGAATAATAGCTATTACAGATTTATTTTAGTAATTACGAAATTTCCTATCATTTTTCATGTTTTTTGAAATGTTTCTAATTACAGGTCTGATGTTTATACAATCTATACTGTTTATAGAACTTAAAAACTAAAAGCCAGAGAGTTCTTGTTTATTTAAGGTACTGGATCACTCAATGACAGTTTGTCAGGTGGAATGCAGCTTCTACCAGACCCTCTCTATTCACTTCCTACTGACAACACTTACATTTCTTCAATAACATCCACTGATAATGGACGTATCTTTCTGGCTGGAAAGGATGGCTGCTTATATGAAGTAGCTTACCAGGTGATTAAGCTTTATTTTTTATTTTTTAATGGTTAAGCTTTATTTTTTATTTTTAATGGTTGTAGGTTAGACTCTTGAGAATTCTGAAACATGTCAAGTCTACTGTCTTTTTTCTTATATTGTTGCATTACATGGTTTAATTGAACAGCAGCTCTGAGTTCTTATATGAAAAATAGCAGTACAGCTTTGGTCAACTTAAAATAGTTGAGATAATGATAATCTGCACCCCTTTCACATAAATTTTTGTTTTTGTAATCAGTGCTTTCAATTATGAAATATATATTGAAATTAGTGGCATGTATTTAGATTTTTACTTGTTTTCACACTTGCAATTTTGCTGCCTTCTTAGGATAGCTTTTAGTTTGTTTTTTCCTTTGTCCTGAGTTTTCTTTCAACACCTTTTTTGAATTGCAGGCTGAGGCAGGCTGGTTTAGTCAGCGATGTAGGAAAATCAATCATTCAAAGAGCACATTGTCTTTCCTTATTCCTTCGTTGCTACAGTTTACATTCTCAGAAGATGGTAGGTACTGATGTAAAGATTTCCTCAACTGTTAAATATAAATTTGAAATCGTTATCGTTCTTTTGCTTAATTTTATTCTAGATTTGTATTCATTATGTGAAACTGTTTGACTTAAATCCTGTAAGAGTCCTCCAGGACTCTTATTTTTATTAACTTGCATTTAATTATTTTTTGGTTATTCTGTAGCATTTATTCTGTTAAACTTGTTTTCACCAAATCAGTTGTTGATTTGTTACTTCTCCCTTTTCTTTCCCTACTGTCAAGATCCCGTAGTTCAAATTGCCATTGACAACTCTCGAAATATCTTATACACCCGGTCAGAAAAAGGAGTCCTGCAAGTATGTTACTTACTCTAATAGCTATGTGATATGTTATAAATGTGTACATAATTTTTTTTAAAGTTTTCTTCAGTACTTGGAAATTCTCTGTATTTGTGACAGAGCATTTCATTTTTCTCTAACAAAGAGTTTGCTCAAGACCTAAAATACTTTATTCTGAGGAAAAGCAGCCTTTTGATCTTTCTCACAAATATATTGAAACATGATAATTGGATAAAGATGGCATTCTAGTTACTGCATAATACATGAAGCTGTAAGAGTAAATTCAACTTTAGATCAACTACACTGTACTGTTAACTTGCAGGTTTATGATTTGGGCCAAGATGGTCAAGGAATGGCACGAGTTACTTCTCTTTCACAAAACGCTATTGTTTCTGCTGCTGGAAGCATTGCCAGGTATATGTGTAGTAGGTATACTATAAAGAGATTTTCTGTAAGACCAATAGTTTCACAGTGTATTTTTTTGAAGGATGTTTTTTTTCCTTGCTTCTTTGGATTGACAGACTAAAGGCTTTTTTGGTTTTGTTTTCCAGAACAATTGATCGTTCTGTATTTAAGCCTATTGTTCAAATAGCGGTGATTGAAAATTCTGAATCTATAGACTGTCAACTACTTGCAATCACACATGCAGGTAAGAAGGAAATGCTAGTTACTCCTCTTTTTAACTGATAAATGTCATCCACACAGTTAAACAAAATTGATGTTTTCCTTTTCACGGAACATTTAATTCTGGTATATCAAGTTATGTTAACAAGTTGTTTTGATATTTGATGCAAGTATAGTCTGGTCATACAAATCATTATCCACTTTATATCCAAGATAGCCAGCAGAAAGTGGTGTGACAGAAGTAATTCATGAAATCAGTGGTGGACCTTGAGTTAAAAACCTTGATGAACCTGTATTTTAACAAGAAGCATGGTAGTAGCTACAGAATTTCATGTATGTCTGAACTTTGCATGTACTTTGTCTAAAGTGGTGTTGCTGCTAATAATGATTAGAGTTAAATCAGACTGCCTAGAGTTGACTTTCCTTTCTTTTGGTTTAGGTGTCCGACTGTACTTCAGTACTTCACAATTTAAGCATCCAGCAGCTCGTCCCTCCATGTTAACTTTGGTACATGTCCGTTTGCCTCCTGGATTTTCAGCATCTTCTAATGTAGAGAAGCCATCAAAGGTTCACAGAGCTCTTTATTGCAAAGGTACAGTAGACACATGTCAGAAGAGTAGTAAGTTTTTTTTTTTTTAAATTTTTTGTTTTCTGTGACTGTCACTATTGCACTCTTTTATATCAGGAAGGAAGGGGAGGACATGTTTCTGTGTTGTTGACCCTTTCAATCACACATATTGATTTAATCCCCGAAGTAATCTTCAGTTTTTTTCACCTAAATTCTCTTCAAACATCTCATGAAGTGTTTTCTACCTACTTGAGGCTCATTTCTGTTTGAACCTTTCAGGGTAAATGATAAGATGCTGTTGATGGTGACCAGCTAATCCTATGACAAGAAAGTCAAGAGTTAATATCTGCTGTTTAAATTGATTGATTTTTGTCACATAAACAATTAATAAATTTAATGCATGTTTATTGCTTCTAGCACAACCTTAATATCCCTGTTTTTTATAGGGGTCTTGCTGATGGCTGCTTCAGAAAACGAGGATAATGACATCCTGTGGTGTATCAATCATGATTCTTTTCCTTTTCAAAAGCCAATGATGGAAACACAGGTAGTAAAGTGAACTTTCAAGTAATTTCGATGGACTGTAGATACATTTTTTTTTCCTTTCTCTTAACTTGAATAGTATCTACTTAATCTATAAAAAATGGGTAGTTCACAGAAAAGCTTATATGAAGTGTTTGGAAATGCTTATAAAGCTACCAATTAATACGCTTTAAATTCAAAGCATATTAAGGAAAAGTTGCATAAATTCTTTTATTGGTGAACAGAAAGTGATATCTGAGCAGAAATTCCAGGTTCAGCCATACTTTTATCATTCTTGCAAACTACGTATGAAAAGTGATTGCTTTCACTTCTGAGATTTAAAACCATTGTATTGGAAAATATCTTATTTGTGTCATATTTTTGCCTGTAGCAGACAGTGCATCATGCACAAGCACAGGAGGATGTGATCTCCCATTGAAAGCAGTGTTTGTTGAAAAGGATGAAGTTTGACAAGAAAGAATATTTGAAATATAGGTGTAGGAGACTTCAGGTTTCTATGGCAGATATGCCATGTTTTCATCAAATGCAATCTATTCGTTATTTCATTCTTTCTCTCTTTTTTTTCTTTTCCTTTTTTTGTCCCTAGTTGTTACATATGTGGATTTGCATGGAGTTAGTTTGCTTGTGCATCAACTCGTAGATAACATTACATGTGTTTCAGCATTGAAGCAAGCCTGTAGTCATCTACTGCTTTTGGCCTTCAAAAGTAGTATAATCTTAGTACCAGTTGTAGAATTTGAGTGAATGGAAAAGCTGTAACTTTAAAAGTCAGGTTTTATCTTATTTTCTGTTTTAATAATAGCTGTAGAGAAGCTTCATTGTTACACCTCCTTTCTCTATGAGAACTGATAGGTTAATTTCTCTGTTTTTCCAGGGGTTTTGAAAGTGACAGACATTAGGTTTCCCAAGGAAAACTACAATATATTATTGAACAGCAGTTGTTTCACATTAGCATGTAGTTTTCTTACTAAAGTAATACTCTGCGTGTTGCTTTATATTTAAATACAGAACGCCATCCCTAGCACAAGAAAAGCACTATGTAGCTGCAAGTTTGATGTTAATCTTCTATCAGACAACAGAATAGCATGCTCCTTTTCTTTGAGATTTCATGTGTCAAGACTAGCTTTTCACGTATGCAGTAAAAGGTAAAATATCTCAATGGAGATATGTATAATCAATGAGTATTAAGATGCTATAATTATGAAATAAACAAGAGAGTTAGGCAAAGCAGATTAAGATAACAGAAAGAGAATAGAGAGAAGGCTTAGCCATGTCCTGGGCTCACTTAGAAAACCCCAGCAGAGTGGATCTCCAGAAGAGATCCTTCCCCACTGGTAGGCAGCTCTTAAATGGGTCCATGAGAGGTGCAGCCTGGCTCCACCCCTTCCGGCAGCACAGGTGAATTGCCTTCAGCTGTGCTCCTCTGGCTGACTCATGGCTCGCCTCAGTGATCAATCAGAGGTTCAGGCTGTGACTCAGCAGTTCCCACACAAAATACAAAATCCAAATCTGCTATCAGAATTTGAATTACAATTTTCTGTTGTTCAGATGACCACCCGTGTTGATGGGCATTCCTGGGCTCTTTCTGCTGTTGATGAATTTAAAGTTCAGAAGATCGTGACACCACTAAATAAAGACATTATTCCAATAACGGATTCCCCTATCATTGTGCAACAACACATGCTGCCACCAAAGAAATTTGTTCTGCTTTCAGCTCAGGTGAGTATGAGTTTTCTTAATATAGCAGGTCAAATAATTAATATAAAGCTGAAAGGCTGATCCCAACCTGTGTTGATTCAGTTTGTATGAGATTTTAGAATTGTATTCTGAAGATATTGTGGAAAAAGGGAACACTGCTGAAACTCTCAGTATCTGTTTTAAACTGACTCAAAGCAATTGGGTCTTCTTCTCTTGCACAATGCATTAATCATTTTGTTGGCTTCAGGAATTAATTTTTTCTGCCTTTTCTAGACTTCCTAGAGAATGTGAATGGAAACTGGGCTTTAAGCACTAGTCACGTTACCTGTTGATCCTGTAGTGTAGTGAAGGAAAACTTGGAGAGCAACAGAGATGATAAGCATTGTGGTGAGATAGAGAGGTATTACCAGTAGCAACTTTATTCCAACTTTGTATTATTTTGGGTTATTTTTAGGGGAGCTTTATGTTTCATAAACTCAGACCTGTTGACCAGCTGCGGCATCTTCTTGTTAGTAATACAGGTGGGGATGGAGAAGATATTGAAAGATTTTTCAAGTTGCATCAGGTAAGAATTTTGACTTGGAAAACAGAAGATAATACTATGTAATCTCAGAAGATAATATGTGTTCTGTTGTTGATATTACTACCAACTTCTAGTAAACATTAATACCAACTTCTAGTAAACGTTAAATTTATTGACTCAAGTATTATATTTTCTTTCTGTGTTGTCTTCATAAAACAAGGTTGTATAGTAAGAAATATTTTTCCATTTTCTGATATGTAAAGACAGAGGTGTAGACTGTTTTCCCTAATATTCTTGTGTTTCTTGTTTGTTGAACTGTTGAATGCACTTCTTAGTTTAGGAAAGGAGTTAATTAAGACGGGAGGAGAGAGAATTTTCTTTAAAAAAAAAAAAAAAAAGCAAGAAAGAAAACACTTGAATCCTTACCACTATACGGAAATTTTACATTTTGAAGGCCAGTATAGCCATAGCATTTATCTACTTCTTGTTCTGAATAAATAACAAACATGGGAAGGGAGGGATAGCTTCCTAAATGGAAGGTTACAGTTCTGAGTTGACTGTTCCTGATTAGTATCTGTAGTGTATGTCTATTTGTGCTTTGATATAGGATGTTCTAAGTGATATGTTAAAATACCTTTCAGATATACCAGCCATTATTGCTTGTATAGATAGCTTTTATTAATTATCAATCTTAATTTACATGGCTGTAGAAATTTCACAAATCTTTGTCAGAATTAGGTGATAGATGGATTATTTCCTACCAGTAAATGTACTGAGCTGCAGAAGGCATACGTACAACATTACAGAAGCTTAATTTGCTAAAGTGAGATGCCTCACTGACTGATAATTTCTGTTACTGGAAAGAGCTGATTTCTTTGACTTCTAGATAAAATGATGCAGGAAGTATTTACTGCTTATTTATTGATCATCAAAACTTCACATTTCTTATCAACTTGATGTAAGCTCCCACTCTAAATGCATAATGTACCGTAGGAGGATCAGGCTTGTGCCACTTGCCTAATTTTGGCCTGTTCTAATGCTGCATGTGATAGAGAAGTATCTGCCTGGGCTACTCGAGCATTCTTCAGGTAAGTTTCAGTTGGTTTGAATGTTCCAAGTATTATGCTCAAGACCACTGTGGCCACTAAATGTACAGTCTCTTTAACCTGCTGAGTAAGCACTGTTTTTAAATGAGTGCAGACTGTTAAGGTTGGTGAAATATATGTTGGCACTAATTAGATCTCACTAGTCAAGCAAGACTTCTTGTTATTTGCCCTCCTGAATGTTTTCATGGGATGTGGTCCATGTGTAGAGAAAATTATTCTAAAAGTATTTTGATCTGCTTTAAATTCACTTATCTATATTTGATGGTTTTTCAGTTCGTTGAAGCAGACTGTATAGAGAGAGATAATTAGTCTTTAATCAGAGCAATTCGATTGGAAAAAGAGCAGACAAATTTTGGACCACCAAGCCATTATTTGGATTGGTAATAGAAAATAAATTGTTTAAGACTAAATACAACACAAACACTAATGTTCATTTTAGTAGATAACCTGAAAGGTAACGTACTTGTTGACTACAGGATTGATAGAAAATCAAGCAGTTTGTAATTTTGTAATAGAGAAAAGTATGGTGAAGTATTGTCATACAACATCTCTTACATATCTTGGCGCTTACTGTGCAGTGCACCTAAAAGTACATATTTCTAGGCTGTTCTTTTGAATAACCTTTTGAACTGCTTTGTCTCCTTGAGGATTAACTTAGAGTTAATGGTTTTGTGCTGAATATTCTCCCACTAGCATTTAAGTATTTTCATCCTTTGTGTGTTTTGATAATATGTTTGCCTTCATTCTTGTGTAGCTGTGTTTTCTTTTGTGAGTACAAAATCAGGAAAAACATCTGATCAGGTTGCTTGCAAGATATTGCAAGTTTATTGAAGATTACAAGTATATTGCAAGTACACTGAAGATTACATCTACAAGTACATTGTATCCTGAGAAATGTATGAAGGATCCAAGAATTAGGACTGTGCTGTTGTAGTTACTTCTGGCTTTGTGTTGTCAGGTAGATACTTCAATTGCAAAGTTTCTAGTGCTGAAGGAAGGCTAGCGCTGTTAAATGAAGATTCACTTTAATTTAAGGAGGTATCATTAGTTAGCAGAGGGATGATCCAGCTGTTTTGAGGCCATACAATACTCAAGTAATACTTAATTGAAGTGAGATGAATAGAAATGACTTGTGGACTGTAGAAGAATGAGTTTGAGTCACCTCAGCTGTTTCCTTTTTATTTCTACATACAAGCAAAACCTTAAAAAGATAGCAAAGCAGAAATAACTTAATTGTCCGTTAACTATGAAGTTATGTACACTAATGCTTTTCATATAATGTGCGTTCAGTTAATTTTATTTTCATGTGTCAAAATGAGTATAACTGTTTAGAATTATACTGATATTTTGTAGTTTGTTTTAAAAGAACCACTAACTTGTAGCTAGTTCTCCAATATATGAAAATTAAACATGCTATGTATAAAAGAGAGAGAAAACTTCTTTTGTGCACATAAATTTTAGGTATGGTGGAGAGGCACAAATGAGATTTCCATCAGCAATTCCTCCTCCAAGCAATGTTGGACCTATTTTGTGTTCTCCCATTCCTTCTGGTGAGTAGCAAGCATTCTGTGATCTTAGGTAGGTCTTATTTTTTCCTTTAAATATGTTATGTTTTGTGCTCTTACATGTTCCTGTGTTGAAGATCAGTTGTTTATTTCATAGCAGAGTATCTTCTTACATTATGAAACAGTTTCTCCAGTTTCAGAATTCTTATTGGTAAGAATACTGGCTATATATCATGCATCAGTGACGTCGCTTCCTAAGCCTGATGGTGTGGAATAGTAGCAGTGTAAGCAGGAGCAGGAGTTTAAAAGGACAGCAAGTGTGGAAAGAACAGGTGCTAGGAGCAGATGGAGAGGGAAGGAAGGTGTCGGAGAAATGCTGGAAAGTTCTTTGTTTGCTGAAGTTTACTCTTTCAAGAAATAAAACTATATTCTTCCTAAGTCTGAATATTCACTGTTCTGTTGGTTTAAAAAAAAAAAAAAAGTTTTTAATTTTTTGCAGTCAGGAAACATATTGTCAAAGTGCATTTTTATTTTACTTAGGTGATTGGTTCATGGGGCATATGATACGGTTCTTCTGCTGCTGCTTACTCTGTTTGTTCCAAGGGTAGAGAATTGTCATGTGAAATAAATATTCTGCCAATGACTCATGGAGCTGGTCAAAGCAGTGCTGATAGAATGTTTTTGAAACATCTTGAAACTGTGTATGTGAAACTGCCTTAGAATAATTCTCAGTTCTTTGAGACCCCTTGTGTTCTTACTGTTGAAAGTCCAGTCATTCAGTTGCATGCATCTGTTCTGCCAGCTGTGCCTTGTTTGGTGCAAAGGAGAATGTGTTTTCAATATGAAACGGGATTTGTTAGTGAAGAACTTTGTGCTGTAGTGTGTTGCAAAGCTGAGAGAATTGTAGTGAACAAGACAAGAAGGACTGATTCTTCCATGCCAGCTTTTCTAGGTGCCACATTTCATATCCTTTCCTTGTTTTATCATCACATGCTGATGAAGCATGGATATACTTATAGCTGATGACATTTGTTCATCGTATTCTATGACACTTAGGTACTAATTTGCAGAAGACTTGAGTATGCTTAGTTGAATCTGAGACCAGACTCACTTAGGGAAAAGCAATCTTAAACTGAACATCTCAAGTAATACTGCTGCCGGTGTGTTCAACTACCATATGTAAGAATTAAGAGTAATAAAAACAGTGTCTTCCCAGATGTGTGCTTCAAAAGTAAAATTGATGTTCATTGGAAAGGTCTAAGTGACACAAAGTGAGTGCTTTCAGAGTGGGTGCCTGTATCAGGAATAGGGGCAGTCAGAAGATGAAAAACAAGAAAAAGCCTGTGAACAGTATTAATATTCGGGAAACAGACTGTGTGCAGCAAATGCTTTGTGAATGCTGAAAACAAAAATGCTTATAAACAGCTATTGAAAGACTCGTATCTATTTGGCTCATATAAGGAGTGCTGGTTTCAGCATAAATTAGTGCTGTTCTGTATGTAGTTAAATAAAAGCTGTTGGAATGGATTTGCAAGAAGGATCCTGAAAGTCTGTGTTTACTATTATGTTTTGACAACTTAACATAGTGTTTTTTTGGGTTGTGTTTTGTTGTTTGTTTGTTTGTTTGTTTGTTTTTCAAAAAAACTTAGATTTCTCTTTTGTTTTTCCTTTTTAGTTTCCCCATTTACTGTTGATAGTCCATATCCTAGTCCTAGCTTATTGACAACACCTGGGGCAGGTAACCATTACTTTTCCTTTGCTGAAGGAAATGAGAATTTTTTTCAACTTCACTTCTGTTATTGTACACAGAATAATCAGTAACCTTTGCATACCTTTATCCTAGGTTTACAGTCTACTAGTGTGTCAACTCCCATATTCCCTCCTGGGAATTCTGTATCTCACCCTGGTACATCCATTAGCAGTGGTATGATGGGTCCAGAGATTGTGTTTTCTGGAAGACACAATGGCATCTGCATATACTTTGCTCGGATTATAGGGTAAGGTGTTTATGTGAAATAATCACTCAATTCACTTAATTTTCCCATCCCCTAATGCTTGTAAGTGATTAAATCAATTCATTCTTAATAGGATGTAAGAATGAGATTATTAAAGTACATTTCTCTTCCATATTTTAAGCACCTGTTGATGCAATAGACTCTCTTTACAGTTGTACTGATAGTTCTACATTCAGTGAATGGATAGGATGGGAAAGTTTTTTGGATATTGAGTGCAATATGCATAGCTCTGGAAATTTCTGTTTTACTTTTCAACCTTATGAACTTTTTGAAGAAGGTTGTATTACTTTAATAATGGGTTGTGTGTTAGTGAACACCCCCAGCAAGAGTAGAATTCTTCATATGTTGGTTCATATCTCTCTCTATGGTTGTCTGCCTATATATTTCCAGAGAATAGTATTAGCCTATATATAAATTATTTGAGAGCATCAAACCTTATCTGATTAAATATTTAAAACTTTTGTTGATTGTCTATACCTGTGCTGTGCATAAATATGCAATTCTAACATTTCTTTTGAACGCTAACTTTTCATCTAGATTTTTAAGTTAGACTTTGAAGTAAAAGGTAATGGTTTTTTTTAAAAGACATATTTAGCAAGTATGCAAGCTTGTGGTGCTTGTAGTTTTTAATCCAATTCTCTTTTGTATTGCAGAAATATCTGGGATGGCAGTATAGTAGTGGAGAAAATTTTCAAAAGTGGCAATCGAGAAGTTGTTGCAGTATGTAAAAGATAATGTTGTATTTTTAAAAGATTATTGTGGTATATCTCTCCAGCCCTTTATATTTGTGTTCCCAAATTATAAACAGATAAGTTAAAAATGATAGCTGTCATTTTGATGATATGGGGTTTTTTTGGGTTTTTTTTGCTTTTTTTTTTGCTTTTTTTTTTTAAATTGTACTTGAGTGTTCAACTGTGGAGTAATTGTAGGCTTTATTAAAATCTTTGTAAGTTACTATTTTGAGTGTTGCCTCTTACCAATTGACAGTGGCCAGTTCCTTTTCTATTTAGTGAATTTATTTCTTTCATTTCTGCATATCCTATGCAGTCAAAGCCTAAGAATAAAATGCTTTGGCTGGTTAGGATAAACACTGCAGTTACATAAGAACATAGAACAGTCTTCCAACACCTTCATCATTAACATCTTTACATTTCACTTTTCCTTCATAATCTAAGCATCAAGCTGTTTTCTGACTCCGGATGTTAATACAGTCTTACACTGAGTAATTTCAGCAATACACAATTAATTGCTTCATAAACTTCTCCAGTTTTGAGGCAACGGAGAGTCTCAGGAAGACCACAGCAATTACAGTCTGTGTGTTAGTGCTGCTCAATCATTCCAGTTCAGATTTGAAAATAATAAAACATGGCTGATTTGATTATCAGATACAATATTAGACACCACTTTATTTGAATTTCTTCGGAGACTATTCTTTCTTCATATGTCAGCCCTTCCCTTTGAGTCTGTTATAGACAATGGCATTGTAGTGATAATGTTATTAGTGTGCTATTTATTTGTTGGACAGTCTTTCATCTGTCTTTCTAGTGGCTTTAGTTTGAAAATGTAGACTTCTGAAAAAAGGTTTGGAAAGTCTAAACCCTTCTGTAAAGAAATTTGCTTTCTTTTGCAGATAGAAAGCAGTGTTCCATCCCATGTGCTGGAATGTGTGCTACAAGAACTCAAAGGTTTACAAGAATTTCTAGATAGAAATTCTCAGTTTGCTACAGTTGGAGCCTTTGGAAACCCAAGGTATTGTTCACTGCGTTAAATTCACTAGTGATGTTCAGTGTCCAGCTCTTGAAAAATTATCCCTTGCATTTCCATTCATTGCATTTGGATGCTAACAACAAGATGTCAGATTTCATCTTTAAAATATTCTGTATTTGTAGTAATAATAACATTTCCTTTTATTTTGGAATTGCAGTTTCAGTACACCTGCTAATCTGCAACAGAGGCTCCTGGGTTTCATGAGGCCTGATGGTGGAAGTTCTCAGCAAGTGCAACAAGAACTCCAGCGAAAGTATCATGGTATGCAATTACTTTTGAATGGAAGATATTATAGAGTAGTGCATCTGCATCTTCAAGTACTTCTACCTGGAACACCTTGCTTTTTCTTTTATACAATATCATATTGTTCCATCAGAACCAGTGCTCCAAAATGAAAAGACAGTCTAAACTAACAATGGCAAGAAGCTGCTCTCTTCACTTCTGGTGTTGCCTTTCACTTTACTGAAATACTGGAAGTTTTACAATTGCAATTTGTGAAAGCAGTTGATAAAAGTCATCTCTGTATTAAGAGAATCCAGATTTCTGCGCAGAAATATCTAGTGGTTCTGAGCCACTGCAAAAGAGAAACTGTATATCTCAGTTTAATAAGCTAAAGTATAAGTGGCTGAACACAAAAGCACTTCTTTTATACGGTGAAGTCACAATTCTGTAAAGACACATCCTCCTTCTCCTATTTTGTACATTCAAATCATCATACATTCAAATAGAAAACTAGATGTTTCTTTTTACACTCCCTTGTCTTTTTTTTTATTCTAATGTTCTCCATGTATCATCTCTTCATTTCAGTACTTAGTTCTGGCATGCCAATTATATTTTCACTTTTTAACCAATTCATCTGTGAGAGTGCTGATAAAATAAGCACTGTGGTGCAGGTTCCCAAAGTTCTAATCACTGAAACCTCCTCAAAACTTTCTTTAGTGGAATCAGTCCTGTCACATGACAATGTAGTTTTTGCTCAGTACTTGTAGACATGTATGCAAACTTAAACATGGATGTGGTCCATGTGAGTATGATTCTGGTTTTTTAGTTCTGCTGGCTTTTGTTTTGCACTGCTCACTCCAAACAGTGTAAATGTAACGTTTAAAAAAAAAAAAAGCAGCAAACAGAATTTTTAGACACTTAATCATTTATTTTGATTTTTACACATTCCAAAGTAATTTTGGATAGCTTGATGTAATATAATTATTTCTACTTTATGTCTGAAATGTAAGCGCTCACAAGAAAAGATGTGAAGTGTTGCAGCTGTCCAGTCAAGTAACAAGTCTGCCCACTATATTCAACTATAATACATCTCAGCAAATTCAAACTTTTCTTGTTCTTCGCGTAGCAGTTTCTTTGAAACCTTTTCTTTAAAGACAGTGTACAGTGTTGACTGATGATTTAACTATAGTTGTTCTAAAAGTGAACACAAGCAATCAAACAGGAAGACAATGTGTGTTCATATCCAATACATATAAAATTACACTTGTGAAAAACCAAGTTAAAACTTGAGACTGATTTTGGACTCATGCACTCACATGAAACCGTACTTTTATCAGAAAAAAACATTCCTGCATTGATAATTTGAAGTAAATGTTTACAGATAGTATTTTTAGGAGGGAAATTTTTTCAAGGCACTTTCCTCCAAAGAAATGGAGAGCCATAATCAAGAACAGAGACGAAAAACTTGGAAATGTAAGGAGACGTATTTTAAAACCTCAAAAAATCAACATACTGACTCAAAGTATGAACAGCACAGTTACTTACTGACAGTCTCTTTGCTTTTTCAGCTGAGGCACAGTTAACCGAGAAGACTTCACTTCAAGGCATCCAGCAGCTGGTTCGCAAAACCTGCCAGGCATTGGCTTTGTGGAAGTTGCTTTGTGAGCACCAATTCAGTGTTGTTGTAGGTGAGCTTCAGAAGGTACGACCAGAATCATCTGATTTTAATTTGTTCATATTTAATAAGAAATTAATATTTAAATTAAATTTAAATTGAATTTCTTGCTGCTGCTTAGGTATTTCCAAAAGTGCATTGCTTTAACTTGTTAAGAGGCAGATTACGAATTTTAAATTGAATATAGATCTTTATTCAGTTTGCTACTGTTTATTTTTAGGAGACAACCATTCAGTTCTGATCTCATCACCCAATTTTAGCAAATTGGAAGCATCGATAGCAGTAGATTCAGTTTTACTTTTGTTGAGAGTTAACAATTACTCTGTTTCATAAATTATAATATTGCTCTAAATTTATAGTTTTAAAAAGTTTTCTCTTTGAACACATTGTGGAAGATGTGCAGTGAAAGAAATAGGCTAATGTTCTCTAACCTAGAGGAATTAACTCTTTGCATTACTGTTAGTAGATTTTGGAGAGACTAGTGGAGATTAGTGTAGAGCAGTAGTGTTGTAGAGGCTTCATACTGCACTTTTACCTAAGCAGAGGTCTAGAATCTATCACAGAACAGCTGAAGGAGGAAGAAACCACTGGAAATACCTGCCTTCTCCTGCTCTGAGCAGGGTCTACTTTAGACCAGGTTGTCCAGGATCATGTCTAGTCAGATTTTGGATATCTACAAGGATGGAAATCCTGCAACTTCTCTGGGCAACCTGTTCCAGTGTTAAACCATCCTTGGAAAAAAAAAAAAGGAAAAAATAGTTTTAATTTCTAGTGTTTTGACATTTGGCATTGCATCTTGCTGAGCACCACTGACAAAAGTCTAGTTCTGTGTCCTTGACACCCTCCCACCAATTGTTTGTAAATATTAGTAAGATCACCCACTACCCAACCTAACGCTTCTGTCCTGGCTGAACAAACCCAGTTTTTTTCAGTCTCTCCTTGTATAGAAGTTGGACAAATTAGTACAATGGAAAAGGCGTTACAACAAAGGTGTGATGATGGAAGGACTGACAAGATAGAAAGGTGCTATAACAGAAGAGAAAAAGATCATAGAATCACAAGGTTGGAAATGATCTATAAGATCATCTAGTCCAACCATCCTCCCATTACCATTGCTACCACAAACTAAACCATATCTTGTAGTTCCTCATCCAGGCACCTCTTGAACACTGCCAGGGTTGGTGACTCCACCACCTCCCTGGGCAGCCATTCCAGTGCCTGACCACTCTCTGACAGAAAAAATTTTTCCTCATGTCCAACCTAAACTTCCTCTGGTACAACTTGTGGCCATTTTCTCAGGTCCTGTTTGTTGCCTGGGAGAAGAGGCCAAGTCCTGCTTCACTACAACCTCCCTAAAGGAGGTTGTAGAGTGCAGTAAGGTCTCCCTAGGGTCTCCCCTGAGCCTCCTCCAGACTGAACAAGCCCAGTTCCCTGAGCTGCTCCTCATAAGATTTGTGCTCCAGACCCCTCACCAGTTTCATTGCCCTTCTCTGGACACACTCCAGGACCTCAACGTCTTTCCTGTAGTGAGGGGCCCAGAACTGAACACAATACTCAAGGTGCGGCCTCACCAGTGCTGAGTAGAGGGGGATGATCACCTCCCTGCTCCTGCTGGCCACACTATTTCTAATGCAGGCCAGGATGCCCTTGGGCCTCTTGGCCACCTGGGCACACTGTCGGCTCATGTTCAGCCGAGCATCAACCAACACCCCCAGGTCCCTTTCCTCTTCACACTCATCCAGCCACTCATCCCCAAGCCTATAACGCTGCATGGGGTTGTTGTGGCCAAAGTGCAGGACCCGGCACTTGGCCTTGTTAAACCTCATCCCATTCACCTCAGCCCAGTGGTCCAGCCTGTCTAGATCCCTCTGAAGGGCCTCCCTACCCTCAGGCAGATCGACACCACCTCCCAGCTTGGTGTCATCTGCAAACTTGCTGAGGGTGCAGATTACTCACCCATATCAGAAGATTCTAGGTTCACAGAGGAAAGCTTCACCAAGGAGGGGTCTCTAGAAAGAGATCCTTCCCCTGTGTCAGTCAGCACTTAAATGAGCTCTAGAGAGGCGTAGCCAGTCTTCACCCCTTCTGTCACAGAGCTGAATTGCCTTCACCTGTGCCCCCAGTGTTGATCAGCTCCTTTCCCCAAGAGCTCAATCAGTGGTTCAGGCCATGACTGAGCAGTTTCCATACACCGTTTGCAAGAAAGGCAATTTACAGAATATTGGTTCTTGTGGTATGCTATTGTTGAATTTGCATCTAGTTCTTAATGAAATTAATTATTTTAATATTAGGCATTCTGTCCTAGCAAGTCATAGAAGAATTGGTTACTTCAAGTTGTATTCTTTATCACTAAAAAGAACAATTTTTGAACTTTATGAATGCACAAATGTTGAAGCTGTTCTTACTGCTGTCTTTGGGAGGTAGCACAATTTCTAGCACAGGCAGCTTTTCTCTTATCTTGGACGAGGAACTAGTTGCTTGACAAATAAAATCTTTTCCACTGTCTGCAGTAGTTTTAGAGTTTTTGTAATAGTATTTTAGTGTTCTAAGTGATCATCAGTAGACAGTAGTGGCAGCTATCTAGCTCTACTTAAGCACATTTTCCTAATAATTTTTACCAAATGAATAAACTGTAACTTAGTATGAAAAGTCGTAGTCTAGATTTTATACTGTTTCAAAAAATTCCATCTCATGCTGCATCATCACATTCATTTGTGAATATACTCAGATATTTCTGTTATTAAAAACTGATATTCTTGTTTATAGTGTTCTTATAGTGCCCTGTGAAGTAGGAGAACAGTTAATAACTTTCTTACAAAGAACTGAAATAGATATGGCACATTGTGTAGACTAGAGGAAGTCATACAAAGTTCTCATTGTCCTTTCTCATCCAATAATCTAGTGTCTTCGTTGATAGAGCTTTCTCTAGTGTTTTCCACCTTGCTATATATGCTTTGTTTAAAATAATGTAATGTGCTTCACTCACTATGTTTACTTAAGTGGAAATTGCTTACTTTGCTGTAACATTTTTGCATTCCAAACAACATGAATATATTGGTCAAATAATGAAATGCTGTCTGTCTACAGGAACTTCAAGAACATCTAAAGATGACTGCTTTCAAAGACTTGGTAATTAGAGACAAAGAGTTGACTGGAGCACTCATTGCTTCTCTTATAAACTGTTACATCAGAGATAATGCCGCTGTTGATGGCATAAGCACCCATTTGCAAGACATCTGTCCCCTTCTCTATAGTACTGATGATGCTGTCTGTTCCAAGGTAAGCCCACTTAGAGATTTTGCAGCGCCAAAATACATTATTAGAGTGCAAGTTTACCAGTGACTCTTAGCTGAGTGGGGTGGTTGATACACTGGAGGTAAGGGATTCCATCCAGACACGAGCCTGTGTGAACCTCAGCAAGGCCATGTGCAAGGTCCTGCACCTGGGTTAAGGAAATCCCAAGTACAGATATGGGCTGGGCAATGAGCGGATAGAAAATAGACCTGTGGAGAAGATTTTGGGAGGATACTGGTGGATGGATGCCTTGACAGGAGCTGGTAACACACAGTTGCAGCCTGGAAAGCCAATTGCATCCTGGGACACATTAAAAAAGGTATGGCTAGCAAATCGATGGAAGTGTTCCTGCATCTCATGAGTCCTCAGAACACACTACTCCTAGGAGTAGCGTGTTCTGCTCTGGGGCCCATAATATAGGGATAGGAACCTTTTGGTGAGTCCAGAGGTGAGCCATGAAGGTTACCAGGGGGTTTCTCCTATGAAATAGTCTTAAGAGTTGGGATTGTTTAGCCTGGAGGAGAGAAGGCTTTGGGGAGATTTTAGAGCAGCCTTCCAGTACTTAAAGAGGGCCTTCAAGAAAGATGTCTAGAAACTTTATTATAGCAATAGGACTAGGTATAATGATCTTAAGCTAAAAAAGGATAGATTTAGATTAGACATTATGGAGAAATTCTTACCCTCTCATGGCAGAGGGGCTGGAAGTAGATGATCTCTAAGATCCCTTCCAGGCCTAACCGTTCCACGGTCCTGTGATTCAGATCAGATAACTCGGGCATCTTGTGAATACCTTGCACTCAAGTGATTTCAACAGCGTAAGAACTAGTGTCTTGTTGATCAGTGCTGAAATTTATGTGAATTCTGGTTTGAAGTTCTTGCAGTTGTTTGTAGTCTTCATAGGGTCTCTAGCTCCAATGTGATGCATACGTCTTTGTGATGCTTGTAATATATATCTTACTCTAGCCTTTCCTCGCATAGTCTTTTACCTGGTTCTGTGCAATTTGTAAAAGGATTATTATCTTGAAGAACTCCTATTTGAAGCTCTTCCAACTAAATTCAGCAAAATTATCTGTTGAGATGAGAACAGAGGGGAAATGATTAAATCTTGTCTTCACAAGTATCCAGACTAGAAACTCCTTGTCTCTAATGCAGTTGCACAGTCCTTATGCTGGAAACCTGCTACTATGTACTGACAAGAGGAAGTGTTTTTGAGAGTTTTGTGTATTTTTTATTGTTTCAGCTTTGAGTCTTGTCATAGTAGCTCACTAACTCAGTTACGTGAATAGTCTCCATTTTCCCTCATTGGTATGTAGGCAAATGAATTGCTTCAGCGGTCTCGGCAGGCTCAAAACAAACTGGAAAAAGAGAAAATGCTAAGAGAGTCACTGAAAGAATACCAAAAGATCAGCAATCAAGTAGACCTTGCTAATGTTTGTGCGCAATATAGGCAAGGTGAGAGGCAATCACTGATCTTTTTCTGCTAACCAGTTTCTGCTGTATCATTTTACACCATCTTCTTTTTGTTTGTTGTTTTTTTTTAACTTCTAAATAATCCTACAATGATGTTTTCAGATTACTTCCTGGTAACTTTCATAATTAGTATCTCTTAACCTGTTATTTTTAAAGCTATTCTAGGTTTTACCTGCAAATGGAAAAGGAAAGCTTCTGTTCCTTTATTGTACAACTGTTCCTCTATGTACAGTGTATTTCCTGTTTTAAGTATGGTGTGTGAAGTAGTAATTTCTGATGCAGAATTTTACAATGTGATAGTAGTATAGAGAATCTGAGTAGAATGCAGTAACTGCCAGCATAAAGAAAGCATTTGTCACCACTTACTTCACAGTGCAACTTGCTTTTGATCCATACATGTGTAATAATGTTTTTAGCAAAATTTTTTGACTGCAAGTAAGCAGAGGGTAAAGTATGGTATTTTTGCAGATGAAGTTTAAAACCAAACATACTGTTTGAAAGATGGCTCTGAATCCTGTTTTGTCTAGCAGAAGTTAGTGCAGTATTTAAATGCAGATATCACTCTTTTAACAGTCAAGATTTCAGGTTCTGCTCTATAAATAAATAACTTTGGGCTTGCATGTAATCCCACAGATTAGATATGGGCATAAACGTTTCTAAGATACAGATCAGAGTGAATATCTCTAATCATTCATGTTCAGAGATATTTTACGATGAAAAGGGGTAGTATTTATTTGTCATAGATTTAACACAGTAATTTCTGGGGTGTTTTTTGTTTAATTTTATTTTAATTTATAGTGCGTTTCTATGAGGGAGTAGTAGAGCTGTCTCTTACTGCTGCTGAGAAGAAAGATCCCCAAGGTCTTGGCCTTCACTTCTATAAAAATGGAGAACCAGAGGAGGATGCTGCTGGACTCCAAGCTTTTCAAGAGAGGCAAGTTTTCAGGATACCTTCTTAGCATTTTTGTAGAGGCCTTGATTTCAATTGACTAGAAATTAGTCCCTTTGGTGAAGGCATTCAGGGTAATGACAAGCAAGCATTTTAGAATCATATACACAATATAGATAGTTTTGCCCAACACACTTTTCTAGATTATCATTAATATGGCAACAGCTTAGTGTGAAACAGGATAAACTGATACATACAGAAAACACTGTGATCTGATCTTACAGAAGTATTTGTTAGGAAGATGACTTGAGACCAAATTAGATTTTGTGAAGTACCTGATAAATCTGACTTTTTATTTTAGTAATGATGTCTACAAAAGCATGCAATAATGAAATTTAGAAGGTAGTTAAAATTGTGTGGCTTTAATTCTCTTTTGCTTTATTTACAGATTAAACAGCTACAAGTGTATAACTGACACCCTTCAAGAATTAGTGAATCAAAGTAAAGCTGCTCCCCAGTCTCCCAGTGTACCCAAAAAGCCAGGTCCTCCAGTCCTGTCATCTGACCCCAACATGCTAAGCAATGAAGAAGCAGGACACCATGTAAGAAATCGAGGAGAAAAAAAAAAAAGTAACATGATTGTAAATGTGTACTTGCTAAGCAATGAAGAGGCAGGACACCACGTAAGAAATAGGAAAGAAAAAAAAAAAAGTAGCATGATTTTAAATGTTTAACCGTTTATTATCTATTAAGAAAAAAAACATTTGGAATATTTTTGTAAAATAGGTGAAAGTCAAGATTTATCATGTATTGGCTTATTTTAGAGTGTTAAGAAAAATAATGATATGTAAGTAACATGAAACTAAATGTTGTCATTTAGATATTCAGTATTTGATGTAACATAATGTCTCCAGGAATAATAGGCTTTGTCTTTATTTTTTCCTTAGTTTGAACAAATGCTAAAGCTAGCTCAGCGTTCCACAGATGAGCTCTTTAGTATCGCGCTTTACAACTGGTTGATACAGGTTGACTTGGCTGACAAACTGCTACAGGTGAGCTATATTCAGGGAACAATTTGCTGGATGGTGCCACTGAATAGGCAAGTTCGTTGTAATAATCCAGATGCTTTAAAAGAGAGAGCAAGAAGATAACTGTTGTCTTTATAACCTTTTCAGGTGACTGCCCCCTTCTTGGAACCTTACCTTGTTAGGATGACCAAGATTGACCAAAACAAAGTCCGTTATATGGATTTACTGTGGAGATACTTTGAAAAGAACAGAAATTTTAGTAACGCAGCCAGAGTCTTGGCTAAATTAGCTGACCTACATAGGTATGGTTCATGTGGGATTTATTTAATGTAGTGATGTAGTTGAAAAAATAAAATAAAAAAGAAAATAAAGCCAAGGTCAATGCCTTTTTTTATTCATTTGCTGTTTTAAAAAAATCTGAATTAGCTTTTGACCCACGTCTTTTTTGCAAAAAAATTTTAATTTATGTATCATACATACAGTGTGTTTCCTGTTTTAAGTATGATGTGTGAAGAAGTAATTTCTGATGCAGAATTTTATAATGCAGCAGTGTAAGTATAGATCAGCTGTGGAATAGAACGCAGTAACTGCCAGCATGAAGAAAGTGTTAAATGGTTCCAGTAAAATTTTTTGCATGACTCAGTAAGATCAAGAATGAGTGCTAGCTAACTTGCAGGGTCTAGTTAGAGTATAATTAACTCTGATAATTTTATTAGGAACTCATTTTGCATTATAATATTTGCTTTGCAGCACAGAAATTTCTCTTCAGCAGCGTCTTGAATACATTGCACGTGCTATCTTGAGTGCCAAAAGTTCCACTGCCATATCTTCTATAGCTGCAGATGGGGAATTCTTACATGAACTAGAAGAGAAAATGGATGTAAGACAATTTATTTTAGCTACACTTTCTTTGTATTATTGCATTTGATCTCACTAGCACATGACATTTATTTTTTTACCAAATCAGCCAAAACTGTTTTCCGTACTTTGCTCCCAGTGTGATTAAATTAAACAGTTTATAATCTGGGGTAAGACAGTAACACATCTATATTTAAATAAGGTAAAGTTAATACTGAGTGTTTTCTTCAGATTTGATTATTTTAATCCAATTTTGAACTTGTTTCTATGCAAGGTTGCGAGGATCCAGCTTCAAATACAAGAAACATTACATCGGCAGTATTCCCATCATTCTTCAGTGCAGGATGCAATCTCCCAGCTTGATGCCGAACTGATGGATATAACAAAGGTAGTTAGAAATTTCTTTGCATTAAATGTCAGTTTGTCATATTTGGGGGCTAAGGGGGATGCTCTGCAAAGAGTGATCTAGTGCTGAGCAGAAAATGTGAGAGATAGTTAGGCATTTCTAGTCTCTCAGAATGCGTATGTTAGACTTCCTCTTTTTGATATTCCTTCTGTCTTCTGTACTTCAATTTCTTCCCTGTGTTTTTTCTTCTTTGAGCTTCAGAGTTCTTGATTTATTGGAGCATAATAGTGGAAAACAGCATTGCTAATTGTATCTTCATGGAAAACTAGGGATTATATTTAAGAAGTTAATCTACTTACACTAAATGAAAAGTTATTTTAATGTTGCATTTGACAACAGTTATTTAAAGTATGCCTTTTCTATATACCATATGTCTACCATATAAGATGTGGAAAAATTGATTTTAAAAATTTTCAAGTTTTCTCTTTACTACACTTGAAATGTCAAACCTGGTCTCTCTTTTTTTTTTTTTTTATTATTTCTTCAGCTTTATGGAGAATTTGCTGACCCTTTTAAGCTCTCAGAGTGTAAGCTTGCAATTATACATTGTGCAGGTCATTCTGATCCTATCTTAGTGCAAACTCTCTGGCAGGAGATCATTGAGAAAGGTAAGTCTTAGTGGACCAAGACTGGTATAAGCTAGAATTATAGGAAAACAGTTTAATTAAAGCTTTTAAGGCTGATTAAGCATTGGTACTGGTTCATCTCTTCTGGAATTCTTTAACATATTTGATAGGTATTATCCATTAAAGTTTATACCTTTGGTTTGAATGCGTGAAGTGCATAGGTTGAACGTATTGAATTAGTGGCTTGAATTACCAATTCCAGATATTAAATGTTGTTCCATGTTAACATTTTCTAAGTTCCCCTTATGTATGGAATTCAGCATAACTGACATTTTATCTGAAGGTTTCAGTAGTAGGAAATTCCAATTAAAATGAGAAGTGGCAAAAAATGGTAAGAACTAAAGAATTTTAAGGGGATTTTATAACATTGACAGCAGTGGTAGCAGTGTTTTTTTCATTTATGTGTAGAGGAGCAGAGTCCTGGGCATTATTTGGCAAGCCTGGCTACTCATATGAGATAATCTGTCTCCATCTGTGTCACAAGTGCATAATTTGCTCTTCCCCCTCCCCCCTTTTCTTTTTCTTGGATTCTGTACCAAGGTTTCCATTGAGCAAACAACGCTGGCAGTGATTTGAGAAAAAAGCTGTGTAGTTTTGGGTTTTGTTTTATTTTTTCTTTTTCTTTTTCTTTTTTTTTTTTTTTTTTTTTTTTAAGTAGAATTGTATGGAACTTCAAAGAAACATAGAAATATTTGAAAATACATGCACTCATGCTATCACTTAAGTATGTTGACATTACTTTGACATATGTAGGATAGTATTTTTGCAGTGCTGAAATAAATTTAAGTATCTCCATATGGTTATCCATAATGTGGAACTTCTTATTTTTCTAAACATCTCATCAATTATTTTTTTTTCTTTCTTTCAGAGTTGAGTGACAGTGTGTCTCTGAGCCCTGCTGACAGAATGCAAGCACTCAGTCTAAAGATGGCATTGCTTGGAAAGATATACGCTGGCACACCTCGTTACTTTCCTTTAGGCAAGTGGTTTAGCCTGCGTAGCATATAAATATACATATTACATGAGTGGGTCTCACATTTTTCTGGCCACTTTAAAAAGGCTGTAACGTAAGAAATTTCACTTTTTTTTTTTTAATCTTATAAATGGAAAGAATGCCGATAATTTTATTCCTGCTTGTAATACTTAATTGACATATTTTGTTGTGAAATTTTTCCTTTATCTGGTGAAGCAACGCGTTATTTCAACCAGTAGTAGTAACGGAGCTGATCTTCATGGTAGTTAGGTGGCACCTTTCCTTTTTATCCAAGAAATTAGAAACAAAAGCATTGTTCTTAAAACAAGTTCATTGTTATAGTAGCTTTGATGAGGGACTGAGAAGACGAGAAGTAGAAATTGTTGCCTCTAATCTTGTAAATACTGTATTATTGTGTTTGCAAAACCATTATGAGTTTTACAGTTGTAGTTTTTCCTAAATTTAAGCAGACTTTGCAGGTTTTTATGATGAATTGGAAGTAAATGAAGCTTATGGGGCAGTAACCGCTAGATTTGGATGGCTATGAAAGTCACAAAGTAATTAGGTCTGTTTGTATCAAAGTACCAAGTCAAAATGTGTATTTATGTACACATGTAACAAGATCTTAAGCCACCACATTTGTCTGCTGTCTGTTGAAGCATCTGTTACTGCAGAGGCAAATTCAGAATCAGAATTCAGAAGATCTCTGAATCTTTTGGAGGTTCTTTCTGCTTTTGAGATGCTCAGACATTCTGACAATGTGATGTTATATAAAAATCAGGAAACTATCTTACTACAATTTTTTTTTACAGTATCAAATTATTATTACTGATGCTTAAACATGATAAAGATGTGGTTTTGCATATAGAGCTAACTGTGCTAGCAAATGAAATGGTAATGTGTTTTGTGCTGAAGCAAAGGTTGATGAACTTCTCTTAATAACATAGTTTGGTATCAATTACAGTAAAGAGTTCAGTCTGAGTAATTCCTCTCATGCACTGCTGATAGCTTAAACCATCTTTGGAGCTAGTTAGGAATTACATATCCTTTTCCTTGTACAGATTGGAGGAAACTTGTATATGCTTCACAGGTGAAAGGTGCCAACAAGGATGCAAAAGACAGAAAATAAGACATGGAGCAACTAACTTTTGAATGACCTTTTTTGTTAAACTGCCAATAACAGTTGGAATCTAAGTATCCCATTTTATTTTTCCTCCAGATTTTTTGGTGCAGTTTCTAGAGCAACAAGTCTGTGCTTTGAACTGGGATGTAGGTTTTGTAACGTACACCATGCAAGAAATTGGCGTGCCATTGCCAAGGCTGCTTGAAGTTTATGACCAGTTGTTTAAAGCACGGGTAAGGAAAATAGCCACAAACATAAAAAGTTCAGCTACTGTCAAAGTCTAACTGGCAGAAAACATAAAATAGTATTAAGTGTGATTATACCAAAATATCAGCTTCACAGCTTTTGTTACCTGTTTTTCACTCAAAGACTTATAGTGCTGCTTTTCTTCTGTTGATTTTATACACTTCAGCTCTGAAATATAAGAAAAATTGTTTAGATTTTGTCAATTTTTTACTTCACCTAAATCTGATTTACAAGGAGAGTAGTTAGGCCCTGGAACGGGCTGCCCAGGGAGGTCGTGGATGCCCTGTCCTTGGACGTGTTCAAGGCCAGGTTGGACGGGGTCCTGGGCAACCTGATCTGAACGTGTACGTTTGGTGGCCCTGCTAGGCAGGGGGGTTGGAACTACATGATCCTTGAGGTCCCTTCCAACCCGGGTGATTCTGTGATTCTGTGATTTAGAATTAAGTAGGATTAGAATTGTTACGCTGCAGAAGGAATGCCAAATTTTGAATGTATTAATTATATTTCTTTCCTACTTATGACTAAAATTTGCTGTGTCATCAGTATAGTCAGTGCAATAGGCATAATTAACAAAGACTTGTATTTTTAAATTTTGCTTTTTAAAATGAGCTTTCTGAATTAAAACATTGAATGTTTTCTTTTCATGTGAGTCCCTTAATGTAAGGAATGCAAAACTTTCTCAAGTCTCTTAACTTTACAGAATCCTAGATAATGGAAAACTGAGTTAAATTTCTGGAAGTTTTTAGTATTAAAACTTCAAAACAGTCCTCAAAATACAGATTTAATGTCGGTTAAGATAGAAGTCCTGCTTACCTTTGATTTTTGTTACAGTGAATGAATATCAAAGCTAACCATTTGTATGCATCTGTTGATCTGTTTTGTTTGGGTTTTTTTCATTAATATTAATCTTAATAATTTGCAATCTCTTTTAGGATCCCTACTGGAATAGAATGAAAAAGCCCCTGCATCTTTTGGAGTGTATCCATGTGTTATTGTCAGGATATGTACAAGATCCAAGCAGAGTACTCATGAGGTAAAAAGAGCAGTTATATCCTAATGAAGTATACAGTAAAATGTATAAATATCCTAAAGCAGGGCACTTCTGCTATTTCCAAAGCTTTTCTTCTGGGTGAATTTTTAGTGTTTGTTTTCAGGTAGTAATTTCCAAGACTCCTAATTTTTTATCAGCTAGTGAGAACTTGTAGAGTCTTCCCTATTAAACTGACTCAATAAAAATTATTTTCTCAGTGGCAGATTCAGGAGAGACAGTAATATTTTGTAAAATTTTTGGCAATGTACTTTAAGAAGCACTACAGACAAATTGGAGGGAATCTGGAAATAGTGTGGAAGAGCAAAAAATAGGTCCTTTTTTTTTTTTTAATGAAACTGTGTAATGTTTCTTGAAGAAAGATGGAAAGCAACCAGGTTTTGTATCCTGGAGAAGACTAAATCTGGGTATGAATCTTCCCAAGTTGTTTTTAAAGGGCTGGTGATTAACCATTCTCCAAGACTAAAATTTAGCTTTCAATTTGGTATTGGAAAAAAGTGCTAACTGAAAGAATAGTTAATGTCATTCAATAAATTTCCTGTAGTCTGTAAAATCTTTAGTGTTTACAGTTTTTGTGAATGGACTGTAAAAAATTGTAATCCTGCCTCAGAAAAAAAGAGCAGAATTAGATAATGTCATTCTAGCTCTTCTTAAGATCAATTTTTGTAATTGCGTTGAAAAATACACATGCTAATACTCTGTTCAAATACCTAGTTTATCTGCCTTCCTTTTTTCTCCTTGTACGGTAACTATTCCATCTTGTTAGAATTTGTGAGTATTATGAATATATACCAAATTTGATTCATTTATTGTCCCATTATAGCTGGTTTACAAGCACTAAGCTTACAAAACCATTTCTTATAAGAGCGAAATAATTAAAAGTAGTTGAAATGCCCTACTGAAACATTATTCCATTAAAATGTTAAGCTTACCTTCTACTTTGGAAGAATTCTCATATCCAGAAACTATTCTCCTGAGTTTTATGTTTTCTTCACAGGAGGCGATTCACGAATGTTTGCTTGGATGCTGTTAGCTGCTACCTGGTTGAACTTCAGTCTATGAGCCCAACACTAACAGTGCAGACTACCACTGGGAATTTTAAATCGCTGCAGGCTAAGTTAGAGCGGCTTCACTGATTGACCAGTACAGTAAAAATCACACAGATTAAACGTACTGTGAAATGAAATCTCAGGTCTGCACTGCATCTTTGGAAGAACAAATGCTCACTGAATTTATAAGACAGTTGCATGTCCTGCCAATTATTGATTATGTGGCCTGCCTGTTAGTCTAAACGTTCCTACAGTCTGTGGAACGCAAATGTGGAAAATAGTTTCTTTTGCTACTACCACATTTTTTAATTACAGAAGAGCTCATTTTTTATACTATTGAAATAAAGTATGTTGTATGTTTTTTCTCAAGAAAACTAAAACTATTTGGAAAATATTTTCTTTATTCTTTGTTTAACATAAGGTATTGGACAAAAGCAAGAGTTATAACTTACTTTACATCTGTTTTACAAGTAATAAAACAAATGACAACTGAGAAAGGCAAGAATATGATAAATGTATGTGCTGGTGGAGTCAGTTTGTAAACAGTCAGGTCAGGGACTAGTGATTCAAACATAACTAGCTGGGCATTATTGGCAAGTCATTCAATAAAAAAAAAATGCTCGTTGCTTCATTATTATCACTTTCATTATCACTAAATTGCAGAAATTAGCAACCAAATTCACACTGCAAGTGGAAGGAAACATTTTTCCTACTCCATTTTAATAAACAAGTTTTGTCTGTTTAAAAAAAAAAAAAAAAGTAATGACTTACACCTTCAGTATGTGGACACAAGCACCAAATGATATATGTTCCTTAAAATGAGCAACATCTGTGCCTTATCTTGACTTCATGCTTCCTAACCTTTAAAATTTCACTCTACAAATAAATTTATGTTTTGTCCCTGTTTCGTTGCCATGAGTTGTAATACATATCTGCTAACATAAACTGTATACTGTGCACAATAAATTACCAGTTTATGTGGGTACTTTTTGCAAATAACTTTCTAACGCAAGTAACTTTTAATGTAAATCAGAGGTAAAGGAGAAGGAAATTTGTTTATGCATGCGGAGTAGATAATGTATTTTTTTTTTTCCAGCAGAATGAGTAATTGATATACATACCACAAGTGTTCAGAAATAGGAAAAAAAAAGTTGTGAGTTAAGATACTCATTCACATGCAGGTTAACTATTTGTGACCTTTACTACCAGCTGTTATTGTAGCCTAGTGTTTTGTTGAAAGTATAACTGTTAAATGTCATTAAAAACTGCCTGGTCCATTCTAGTGGGTTTCTATAGACTGCACCCAGTAAAGTGTTACATAAATTGGAATAATTCTGGGTATTTTTTTGTTTTGTTTTGTTTTGTTTGTTTTTTTTACTTATTATTAAACCAAAATAAGTCTTAATATTGGCTTTTCCAAGCCAGTGTCAGTGTTGAAGTTCATTCAAAAAGTGTTTAAACAGGAACTAGTTTCTCTAGAATACTTACCTTGGTCTGGCTGCAGCTTTGTTCATACCCCATAGGAGTGATGAGCCAACTCTTGCCTGACCCGTTTAACTTCTGGTGGCATACTGCTGTGTTTGCCCTGTTGAACCACACTCTGTAATCTGCTGTAATCTGCTATTCTGGGAATTCTGTAAACTTCTGTAATCCGATAGCTGTTTTCAGACCTGGGCGAAGGGATGAAGGGCTGCGAAGTGACACAAATCAGCCTTTTTTTTGAGTTTATACAGTACAAATGCCTCTATAGTGACATGCTAGAGGAATTTCGAAGAGCATGAAGTGTCACCTTTGATACTTTTATTGCATGTAATTTCAGTATGGAATCATAGGACCGTTAGGGTTGGAAACTCCACTAAAGTCACGTGGTGCAGCCGTCAGCCCATCCCACCGCGCACGTTTACCGCGGCCCTAAGTGCCGCCATTACTTTCTGCCGAGCACCTCCCGGGCAGCCTCACTTTCACACTTCCCGCGCTCTGCTGTGGAACGTAGCAGCGAAGAGGACGGAGGCGGGGCGCAGTGGCGCTGCGCTCTCGCGATGATCTCGCGGGCTCTTTCGTCACGGAGGAGGCGGTGGCGGGGTAGAGAGGCCGCGCCTGCGTGGTGCGCTGTGCCCGCCCGGTCCGTTGGCACGGCGGCCGTTGGCGGCCGTTTGCGTTGGTGTTTCCGCGCTCGTTTGTCTCTGCTCCTTGTGGAACGAAGTGTGTAACCTGTATGGTTGAACTGCCAGTGAGCTGTGTGAGTGGAAGCAGGGGTTCGTTCGGAAAGGTCCTCTGAAAAGAATGAAAACGTGTTTTTTCAAATCTCTTTAGGCATGTGGGGAAGGCATTATTTGGTTTTCTTTATAATGGTTACCTAGAGGTTTAATGAGAATGGAGGTGAAGCTAGACGTTCTCGTGTCTACGTCTATCAAACAAAAAAAACCGTGGACTCGCATTGCCTGGATCGGGCAGGTGAGTGTAAAGAAGTGTAACTGAAATAACGTTCTTTAAGGAGTAGACATCTTTTCATTATGTAACACTCTTTTTACGGAAAGGGGGGGTAAAAAAGGGGTTAATTTGAATGCATTGCAGTTACGGCTCGCAGAAAATAAAAGTGGTATCTTCCAAACTGGTCTTGAGGCTGGCTGACAAGATGTGAGTCTTTCACAAGATGTGCCTCACACTGGAGACTGTTGTTTGGTGGTTCTGGTTTCTCATATCCTTTCTTTTTAAAGTGCATCATTGAAAACTTTGAACAAAAGCATTTTCCCATTCCCTGCTGTATGTGTAGAAAGATGCTTTATTAAACCTTTTTGCTAAGATGAGGCTGGATTTTATCTTTCTGTAATGTACGATTTCTGTTTAATTAGGTAAACTATTTAAGGCCCACTCTTTTTGAAAGCAGTGGCAAAAATCTGACTTTAAACAGGACAGGATGAGGGAACGGGTGTCTGCGTTTGTTGGCATGTGGTTCAGTTGAGATATTTTGAAGAACTTTTTAGTAATGATTGTAAGTTTTGTTTAATAATTTAAAAAATCTGTCAAAATGAAATGACATCAAAAGAGACTGATGCTATGTATGATCTTTGAATCATATCTCAAGTTGGAAGGAATATATAAGGATTATTGTGTTATACTGTAAAGCAAATATACCAAAGAATGAAGTTAATATGATAATCACAGCTGTAACATTCTTTTTCTCATTCCCTCTTCATTATTTTTTCTAACACATTTATGTCTTTCTTTAATGTTTCACAGGCTGAGTAGAAATTATTTTAAAATGCTCTTTTCTTTTAACAGGAAAAAGAAGCTGTTTTTCTTCTAGACGATAAACGTATAAATGAAATTAATCTTGCATCAGGGAAGACAAAGAAGAAAATTCCCCAGCTGCAATCATTGTTAAAAAATGTGGTTGTCTTAACAACATCAGAAAATGGTTAAGTATACTGTTTCATGTATTATAAACCCAGTATATTTAGTTTTAACAATTAAGAAAGGTATAATACCTGAAATATATTCCAGTTCACTTTCAGCTTTAGAACTGTGGCTACAATGGAAGGCAATTTTAAGTTCTTCATAATAATGTGCTTCAAAATATCTCTCCCTTATGAGTGCAGGCGCTTGGCTGGCAGGATTGCTTACAACAGGAGAGTTATTTCTTTGGAATAAAGACCAGGACTGTTTAACAATAATACCAGCAATTGAAGAGTCCAGGAAGGTAGCTGCAGCAGCACAAGGTAAGTGTTTTTCGGTTTGTCTTTTGAAAAATGAGGCAAAAGTCTCTCTTGTTCTTGCACAAGTTAAAAGCTAGTATCCTAGTTAAAAGTACTAGTATCCTAGTATTGTTTTGCATTTCTATCACTTGTCTGCAAACTAGACTGTGACAAATGTCCTTTTTGTTACTTAAATAATACAGATTTCTAAATGCAAAAAAATGTATAAACTGTCATCCATTTTTAAGTACAGTTTATATTTTGTTTGCAATGGTTAGTTATCAATTGTAGAAAAATATTTTTTATTTAGTTATAAATACCTTGGAGAAGATATACATCTAATTTAACTGCTGTCTGCATCATTTTAGGTTTATTTTCTAGGTAGGATTTTCTGATAAGCAGTGATTAGAGAGACTATTATGAAGGCATATATTTGCAAATTTAGTACTAAGTTGCATATCATTTAAATATCACGTTACTGGATAATCTCACTGACATCAGGTTAGAAAATGAAGTAGTGTAGAAGCGATTTGTTATTTTGAGGAATACATGCATTAAGGAATTGAGGGTAATAAAAAAGCAGGGCTTTTATGCATTTCTTTGTAGTTTTCATAGGAGGGGTAGGTTGGGAAAGACCGTTTCTGATGGTTGAGTGTCCTGGGGAAGATAACACAAAATCTGTAAGAACAGGCATCCCCTCTGACTTTACTGCTGGCAAAGGTCTAGCATTAATGATGAGGTTGGAAATCAGAGGTACTTAAGGAGGCACTTGAATTTTTTATGATAGAGGTGAAAGTAATTTTCCTGTTCTTTTTAAGTCTAAATCTAGCAAAGGATCAAAAATAATTCTGGTGTTTACTGTTTTTCTAGAGTGTTTGATGAGATTGTATTTGTATGTGTCTGGAGATGGCAGAAGGGCACTATTAACTACTCCTACAGCGTGTGTCTTTTTGTGGGAGAGTACAGAATATGGAAACACACTCTCTTTTAAAAAGTCTTCTGGGCGGTGGACTCAAATTTTGCCTACTGAATCAGTCATGTTGCCTTCTACTGAAGAAAAAGAAATTGGAGTTCATGCTGCTTTCTTACAAAATGAGGTAAAAAAAAAAAAACCAAAAAAAAAAAACCCTTTTGGCTTGCCTGGGCCACAGTAATTGAACAGAAATAGGTTTGGACTGCATACACAGGGCTGCTTCGAAACTAATGCCTCCTATTTATTTCCATGGAAATTACAACTGATATAAAGAGTGCAGTAACACTATTCGATAGAGCAAAATCTCAGCTACCAGGCATTATTTTTCAGTGTAGTCACAACCACTAGCTGTGCACTTTCATCATCAACAAATAGGAACCTGTATGCTGTGCTAATAAAAATCTGCACCAGCAAAGGGGACCCACTGTTGCTGTCACCACTGCCTCACTGTGCTCGCAACCACTGATTGGTCTCCATAAATGTTCATAAGTGTCGATGAATGTCAGTGGATGCCATTTTTTCTGCATGGAAGAATTCAGTGGCACACCTTCATCTGCACTTCCATGTCAGACTGCCCCTCTGCTGCCATCTATCTCATGGCAACCATATGTAGCAGAGTATTGGTGGGAAGGTTCAGCCTCCACTGCCATAACACCAACATCTGCCTTGGACACCACGGGCCGGTGTTATAAAATGGCAGGCATTGTATTTTGAGCAACACTCATAAAGTATGTTAAACAGTTGAAGTATATAAATAATAAAACTTATTGTAATCTTTTATATTTTCTTAAAACAAAAAAAGAGCAATGCAGAACTAGTGGGATACATGACTTGATTTTGTGAAGCTAATGCATCAACCCTGGTTCCATGACAGTGCCTACAATTCTTAGTGAGCTCTCAAGGATTTTTTATGGAATTTTTGATCTCAGGAAATTTTTGATGAAATTTTACTCCTCTGGTACTTCAGCCTTGAAAACAGTTGGTCACCAATGTGCGTGCTGCCAAAAAGTGATGACACTAATAAGACGTGATTGTGAAGGGAGGGATGTTCTTCTCTGGTATGATGGGATTTACGAAAGAGTCCTCAGATTTTTGAATTGAATGTCTGACTGCAGCTCTATGCACTCCATTTGAAAATTCTCAGGTCATGTA